GGGACGGCCCCGCCTCCCAGGGAGACTGGGTAAAGGGGCTGACAGGCAGATCCTGAGTCTCAGGGACTCTCCAGAGGAAACTGGCACCTGTGGAAGGCCAGACCTGTCCCTGACGTCACACAAGGGGGCTGACTAACAGGGTTGCCTGGAAACCCATCTGCGGTCGCTGGATGAAACATCAGATGCTGAAGGTCAGCGCAGTGGCCGTCAGGACATGGTGGCGGGGAGGCTCAGGACACAGCACATCTTTCTGTCCAGCTTCTCCTTCACCGGCATTCAGCGAGCCAGGGCCTTGGGACGTGGGGACACCAGCCAGCGGCTCGGCCCTGCTTTCTCCGCCCTGAAGCAGCACAGTGTTCACGTGAAATACACTGAACTTCAACTGAGTTCCAGTGACCTGAACACAGAACTGGAAGGAAGAAAAGAGGGGGGCTCTCGGGCCACAATCTCAGCTCTATGACTTGTCAGCTGTGCACCTGGACAGGTACCTGGGTTGTAGGTTCGATCCCCAACCTGGTCGGAATTGTGCAGGAGGCAACCAGTGATGTGTCTCTTTCACATAGATGGTTTTCTCTCTCTCTCTCTCTCTCTCTCTCTCTCTCTCTCTCTCTCCCCCTCCCCCTCCCTCTCTTCCACTCTACATAAAAAAAAAAAATCAATGCAAAAGTGCCCTCGGGTCCGGACTAATTAAAAAAGAAAAAAAAAAAAAAACAGGTGAAATAAGAGAGCCCCACCAGAAAGCCAGGGCACATCAGAAGCTGCCCCCCCCCCCCCCCGTGCCTTACCCAACCTGTCCCCCACAGGCCCCAGGAGAGCATCCCTGCATCCACACCCAAGGACATCTCGCTGGGGCTCATCCCTCGTGACCGTCAGGGCCACGCACAAAGCAGGGGTTCCATGAATATTTGTTGAATGGGGTAATAAAAAGATCAGAATGTGATTTTATTTTTGTAGGTATTAAACAATCCTCAAGAGTCTTGTGACTTCCTGCTTACTGATTACCACTCCAAATCTCTCCATATACCGAGACTAGTTTAAAAGGCAGCCCAATGTTTACCGCTAAGCAGTACCAGTCACTCCACAGGAGATACGAATATTATCAGCAATGCCATCACAGTGTATTTACACTTTACACCTAAAAAAGCAACTGCTTATCAATTACTTTCCCTTCATTATCTCTTTTAATCATTACAGGCATCACACAAACCCTAATACATTTTATTGATGTTGTTTGACGGCAGAGGGGCAACAGGTGAAACCCAGGCCCATCGACATACATCAGTCCGGCCTCCCAGGAAAAACTGGCAGACATATTTTTCTCTCTGGCTGTGACTTGACATTCTCTCCCACCTTATTTGAAACGCTCTGTGCCTCGCCTCACTAGCCCTACCTGTCAGGAGAGAAAGATGCTGGTACTACGTGTTGGAACAGCAACAATATCTGTCCTCAGACTTGACAGGTGTCAACATGGCCTTAAAGCCCATCGTAAAAATGGGAACTGGGTGTGTAGCCTCCTGGGCAGATTCCCGTATCAACTGGAAAACTGAGACGTTTATATTCACATTGCCACCCAGGCCAAAAACATTATATCTTGATAATCTTAAAGTGAAGAGTAAAGGATACATTCTGCATTCCCCAGAACAAAACACCTAATCCAAACAGATTTTATCTCGTCTCATATCCACTCGATTCAACAACTAAATAGTGGGCACTGGACGATACATATTACTTAGGGTTTCAATTACCACCATTTCTTTGAACTAAAACCAATTAAAATCCCTGTCTTAAATGTAGGTGACCCCAAAAAATGTATACACTAAAAAATGTATAATTAGAAAGCCAGTGTTTATTAAAATGCATTTCATTTTCAAAATGTAATAGAATCTACAGACACCCTGCGTACATTTTTGGGTACACCCTGTATTAAGGCACGATCCCTGTCCCTCCCCTTGTCTGTCACCTCTAATTGAGAACATTTAAGTTAAGAAATCAAAAGCAACTTCTAAAATCAGAGAGTGTCATCCTCTGTCTTAATATCTGCAATCCTAGTCAAAGCAGTTAAAAATAGCACCTGTCTCTCTCTCATTTCTCTGCCTTTGCACTCTCCTCCGGATAAAAAGGTTAAGTGATGACGTTCAGTCCGACAAACAATGGACAGCACACGTACACCGCCCCCCCCCCCCCCCAGCAGTACCAAGAACTCAGACACCTACTAGAAAGAAAAAGGAAGACAAGATGGCACACACCGTCATTTGCACCCGTGCCCAGACAGGGTGCTCTTGCTAGACCACACACACAGCAAACAGAATCTGAGGCTCAGACTCGGAATAAAAGAGGCTTTTTTTTTTCCCTCCTGGAAAGTAGGTTAAAGAACATAGGAATTGATTTATTTTGAAAATAAGATCCCAGATACAATCAACAAAATTTATTTTCATTTTTTAGGAACTGGTTTTTAATAAGAACACCATATAAAGACTGTCTATGGAAAGGAGTCACTGAAAGGGAATGAGAAAGGAATGAAGTGGGGCCTATCGTGTTCTCCCAGGATTGATAAGCAAAAGGGAAAACACAAAAGACCATCTCAGGAAGTTATGTTTTTTAATGTTTAAGGATTTTCTCAAATCTTCTCATAGGAGGCCCTTGGCACACTCATAAAAACAGACTTATTTTCTTTTTTTCACCACAAACGATTAGCCAGTGATTTTTATGGGACCGTTTCACTGCACTTGTGATTTGTTTAAAAAGCATAGTTAAGCCCTGGCCGGCTTGGCTCAGCGGTTAGAGCATCGGCCTGCGGACCAGAGTCCTAGGTTCGGTTCCCGCTAAGGGCATGTACCTCGGTTGCAGTCTGTCCCCGGCCCCACTTGGGGTTGTGTGGGTGGCAGCCAACTGATGTGTTTCTCTCACATCGGTATTTCTCATTCTCTCTTCCTCCCTCTCTCCCTCCTGCTCTATCTGAAGATAAATGCAAAAACCTCCTCAGGTGAGAATAAAAAAATTTTTTTAAAAAGCATAGTTAAGCCCTGGCCGGTTTGGCTCAGCGGTTAGAGCGTCGGCTTGCGGTCCAGAGAGACCCGGGTTCGGTTCCTGCTAAGGGCACGTACCTCAGTTGCAGTTTGTCCCTGGCCCTGGTTGGTTCGTGCGGGTGGCAGCCACTCGATGTGTCCCTTTCACGTCGATGTTTCTCTCTCTCTCTTCCTCTCTCTCCCTCCCACTCTATCTGAACAAAAAATGGAAAAATGTCCTCGGGTGAGGATAAAAAAAAAAAAAGCATAGTTAAGTGGCAAAATGGCAAAATGATTATTTTATATATATATATTTATATTTATATATATCTGCGTTGGGGGGGGCATGACAGGTAAAACAAAAAGGCAGAGTCAAACCTGGGGCCCACTGACTTGGACACAAAACTACTAGTAAATTAATCTGCTTTTAAGGTAACCTAGAGCCCCACAAACATTCATCCACCCACCCTCAGACTCTCCATCTAGAAATTAACCTGAGTGATTAACCAGAGTGGTCTGTCTCACCAAATGCCTAGGTTTGGCACCTCAGAGACAGCTTTGTAACGCCATTTGTAAACTGAACTCCCCCAGTAAATGAAGAAAATACTGTAATAAAATGATCACAACTACCTGACTTCCTTTTTTAGGAACCACTTAATTCAGTATTCAAAATTAGGTCAATCTAATGTTACCCTTTCCTATTGGGTCATTTTCTTCAACAACCCGGCTTTAGTTTGGGTGACTGCAAGAAAAATCCATTGTACTGTAGTTTATAACACAAGCTACAAAATAATCAGCTATTTAATTTGGAAGATAATCTTTGAGACCTATTTGGCAACTCTCTCAGCCTAGAGGGCACTTTGCGTTTTAAAACACTGACACAATCAGATACCACCACCACCACCACCCCCCCTTCACCGGCTCCAGTTGTAGCTGGCAAAAGTCCTTTTATCACAGAGACAGAGGAAGTTACCTCTATCCACAAATGAACAACAAAATCGAATCTGAACGCAGAATTTTTACTTGGCTGAGTTAACCGCCAGCTTGCCCGCAGCTCATCAGGCCCTGGAGCTTCTGGGGAAACATCTCCTCCTCCAGTGAACTAACTAAGCCCACGTGCAAGGTGACAGTTCAAATGCGCCCTGTCCTGTCCGGCGCCTCTGAACGAGGAGTCTGTGCCAGCACAGCCCCAGCGCAGTTCCTAGAAGCCCTGGCACGTCCCTGCCGGCCAGTCTACCGCGGGAAGCGACTGCCTCTGCCCAGCCGGAGGACAGGAGGGCCCGTGCGTCCAGCCACCTTCTTGAACCGCGAGGCAGCAGCGACTCGGCCAGCAGGACACGTCGCGGGTGTGCAGCACCGAGCCCAGCCCCTGCCCATCGGGGTGCCCCGAGCCCCAGCAAGCAGCCCGGGGGGAACCTGAATCTGAAACGACACGAGGTGTCTGCACAACCCCCCCGACGCAGACACGCGCGGACCCCTGCCCGCCGAACCGGGCACCGGCCGGCGGCGCACAGGTGAGGGCGGCCGCGCCGCGGGGACGGTGGGCAGCGCCTGCCCGGTCCAGTCCCGGCCGGCGGGCTGCAGGCGGGCGGGTCGGTCCCCGCTCTAGGGTAATGTGCTTTTAAAACCTCGCCGCGACCCAGGTCACCGCTTTAGAGGTTAATAGCAGCCAAATGAGCGGGCTGCAGGGCACTTAGCGAGCCATTCAGGTTATGGCTGTTTAATGCCCCTGGAGCCCGGGCAGGGAGCGCGGCGGGCTCGGGCTCGGGCTCCGGGAAGAACGCGCTCGGGGCAGCAGGACGCGCTCCGGGCCCAGGTCTCCGCGGCCTCACCTGTCAGCCCCGCCCCCGCCCCGACCCCGCGCAGCCCCAGGGCCGGGGCGGGAGGACGGGCCCCGGGCATCCCGTCCCAGAGAACGAGCAGGACGGTCGCCGGCCGGGGACCCTGGGCGCGCCGGGTCGGCCGGGCGACGCGCCACCCTGGCCCCGCACCTACCAGATAATCCATGTACAGAAGCGCTTCAGGTATCCGGAGACCAGTCATCCGGCACCTACAGCATCCGGAACGGCTCCGAACCCGGAAAAAAAGCCGCGTCTCGGCTGCGAGCGAGCAGCCCCTGCAAAGCCAGCAGCGACGGAAACAGCCGAGCGCCACCGAGGAGCCGACGGCGGCCCCAGGGGCGCGGCGATTGGCCGGGGGGCGGGCCGCGGGGACGCAGGGCGCTGATTGGCTGCGGCGCCTATAAAAGGCAGGTCGCGGCGGCGGGCGGCGGAGAAGCGCGGGACTGATGAGGCCCAGGTTCCCGGGAGGGCGGGCAGCGGGGCGGGAGCTGGGGCGGTGCAGGCGGAAGAGCGGGCGTGGGGAGCGGAACGTCGGCCGTGCGGCCGCCGCGGCCGTGTGCGCCCATAGCTTCCTCATTGGGTAGCGAGGCGCCCAGCTGGGCTCCGGGGCCCACGCGGGAGTGCCCCCTCCCGCCCGCAGCAGGAAGCCGGCGCCGGGCGCGGGAGGAGCGGTGGCCTCCGGCTCTTGGAGCCCCTCTCCGGAGCGATTCCTGCAGGCTCCGGCCTGCGACGGGGGGCGGCCCCTCCCCCTCCGGCCCGATGTCCCTCGGGGTGCACGGAGGCTCCCAGGAATCCGGTTGCCCCTGAAGAATTTGCTGTCCGACACGGGAAAAGACAAGAAAAAAGTTGAGGGTCGGTAGAGTCGGCTGTGGACCTCCAACACTCGGGAAGGAGCTCAGTGACCTGCATGCTTTGTCCAGTTACACTGAGCACAGATCCATTGCCTCTAGAGATGAGCAACGGAATAAGCTCTCCGAAAAGACCCGAGTGGTGTGATACTTGTGACCCAATGTCATTGGAAGAGGTCAAATTATAAGTAGGTGCACTTGAGACTTGTGCATTTCCTGGTAAATAACTTGGAAATTGGCACTAAGATTTCACTGTTGCATGGGGGGGTGGGGGGTGGGGATAAGAGCTGGATAGGAACACTCAAGGCTCTGTTTATTTGTTTTTTAAAGATGCAGGCTATGGACAACCAAATCAACATGCACAATGCCAGACATACCTATGGTATCAGGCTCAGGTGACCAAGGTGCCCGCAGAGGTTAAGAAGGAGAGATTGCTTTCAGGTATTAACAGTTAGGGCTTCCACACAGAGACGTCTCACGAGGAGAACTTATGCAATCTTTCTGAAGCTACTCCCTAACTGTACAAAAGTTGTTTGAGGGGTTGGATTTTTACTTTCCCCCAACTTGTCACCTTCTTTTTATGTATCCTCGGGAGTTAATTTCTGTTACTATAAGCTTACCTAGGTCCATGAAAACAATTCCATTAGATAACAGTGGAATTCACTCTAAATACATAGGTAATCCTGGAGGAAGGGAGTGTGGCCCTTAAAGCCAAGTGGTGAGCCTTGAGATTTTTGAGTATCTAATCTCATCTGCTACAAAAAAATGAGAATTCCTAAAGCTAGAGGGTTTTGCGTAGGAACTTAGCACAGAGTTTGACCTTGTTGTTCCAATTCACTGACAAGTGTGTGTAAATAAGAAAGTGTGCTTCGGAAGACATTGTAATGAGTTTCAGCCTGTGCAAGAGCTAACTAGACTCCACTGCAGTAAGTCACTAGACCCCATTTTGGTTGGTCTGAGTCAATTCTGAGATTCAGAAGAGATTTTGACCTGGATCTGGAAGCGACAGACTTCTCTATAAACCTCCAGCACGGTTGGTTGAAACTACTTGCAGAAGTTGAAAGCCCGTGGGACTTGCTAGCAAAAGCAATTCAAATTGGCAAGGAACCTTTTGTTTCTGTGCGTGTGTTTGCCTCCTTTTCCTGAATAAGCATACTGCAAATAAGATAAAGGCCTTGAGTTGGCCAAGAGACACTTTTGGCCCATTTTCTCAGTGATAAGTGGTGATTACTGTCAGTCGGGCTCCCAGAGGCCTGTCAGTTTCCGTGCTGGGGAAAGGCACCGTTCAGGAGCAGTGAGCTTCCGCCTTTTCTTTCAAAGCCAACCTCAGAGAAGACAATCCTGAACAGTAGGTCATTAGGCCTGGTTCGTGCTGCCTCTAGGAATTAGTAAACGGGTGCAAAGCAGGGAGAGGAAAAAAATGTGTTCAAGGAAGGTTTTCCAAGGCTGCATCACAGTCCTCCCTCCACGCCATTGGCATGTTCATTCATTATGACTGGCACCAGGAAGACCTCGTGTTCGGTGTGATGTGTTCAAAGAATCATATCTTGCCTTTCAAAAGAGTCCTTGTTTAAAGACAAAACTGAAGTTTCAGAACTCCCTATGGAGCCCATTTTTTCCAATGAGAATTAATCTTCCCGGATGTTACTATGTCCACCCCTGTGCAGAAGAAAGAGGCCAACTAAATTATGTTGATATAAATAGATAATACACTCCCACTGCGTGAAGCCACAGTCGTAGCTGATACAGTACATAGCAACAGCAGTAATCCCTCCAAGTCATGCTTTTAAAAAAGTGTTGAGACGTTTCAATGCATTCGTCCAACCCGTCCCACTGTATGCCAAGTAACAGGCTGCAGCCTTGGATAAGACATGATCTCATTAACGTAGCCCTGCCTTTGCTCTCGGGAAAAAGAATGACCCTCTTTCAGACGCCTAAGAAAACATGCATGAACTCATGAGGCAACTGCATTATAGACACAGGCCAAGAAAACAGGCCATCACTGCGGCTTGTCAAAAGCAAGGAGAAATTCTTTTAACAGTCCATACTCTACAATTCCGTCAAGAGCACTGGCTGGCCAGATTTGGAAGGCGTTTTTTGTAGAAGTGTTACTTGTAGGAAACAAAAACAGAAATGCATTTTTGCAACTTGGTCTCCCAAATTCTACTATCCAGAAAAACCAATGTGTAAGTGGCTATATCCACCTACTCCCTTTTTGTTGATCACTTGCTACCTCATAAGTTTGGGAAGAATACTCGCTTTAGTAGTTTTGTGTCATGCATGCTCAATATATAAAATTCACCATATCAGGAAACTCGTCATAAATGTTTAATGGCTCTATCGAACTCTATTGTATTAATGTCCTGTGTTAATAAATCCTCCATTCGGTGCTACTGTTATAAATGCTGCAGTGAGTGTTTGCGTATAGAACAGTTCGTATCTCATGATCCTAGAGAGTGTCTAGACGTGGAATTACTGGTACAAAGAGTTATAGCTGATACAGTACTTTCAATACTCATTTCTGTAGCAGCTTACAGCCTCTGTTCCCCTACACTGACCCCAAAGCAGAGAGCACTTATCTCGCCTCATTCCTGCGTTGGTGGACTGACAGTATTATTCCCTAATAGCGGAGAGAGGGTGGCTTTCATTAGAGTACTTCTTCAACCATCAGAAAGAGCGGCGGTGTGAGCGCACTGAAGTCTGCACAGGTCCTCAATCCCTTCGTCTGCTCACGGACGACCTCCAGTAAGTTTTGTGACCTTAACAGGCACTTCTGAGCCCTGCCCTTTTGTCCCAAGGCCTTGACCCCGCCCACAGGCACCTCTGATTTATTCTAGTCCCCTTCCTTCTCTGCTTCCTAAACCTGAACAAAGTACCACTGTGTCCTGGAAGATGAGCCTCACCCGAGCAGGGCCCCCACATGAAGCTACTAACAGAATTCGGCTCATAAATGGAAGAAGTCAAAATGTCAGAATAAGGTTGGGAAAGCAAGCACTTACCCTGAAAAGGTAACTCACCTCTTCCAGAAAGGATTTGGTGGGACTTGGAATATTAAAGAAAGATAAAGCATTTAAAATGAAGAACCACCAATTAAAGTGAAACATAATTACACTGGGAAAATGGAACTGGACCTCACCAGCACCCACTGTTTAAACCCCGAGTATCAGGAAGCTATGTAAATCCCTCTCGCTGACTCCCCAGAACCACTGACTGTCTTAGACACACTGGACTTTGCCGACTGTAACTTGTATTGCCATGGTAACAAATTACCACCAACTTAATGACTTCAAACGATGAATGTACTCTTACCAGTGCTGCAAGCCAGAAGTCCTGGGTTTTATGCAGCTAAAATCAAGGGTTGGCAGGGCTGGTGCTGTCCAGAGGTCCCGAGGGAGGGTTCCTTCCTCATCTGTCCTAGCTTCTGGGTGGCTGCATTCCTTGGCTTGTGGCCACAGCACCCCAGTCTGCCTCTGCGGTCACACTAATCTCCTGCCTCCCTCTCAAGGACAATTGTGATTGCATGTAGGGTTCGCTTGGATGACCCAGGATAATCCCCCTGCCTCAAAATCCTTCATTTGTCCCATTTGCAAAGTCACTCTTGCTGCATGAACCCTCCTGGCCCCGTGAGTGAAATGCTGAGGTCTCACAGCACCGTCACGGTGAGCTAACTTTGCTGACACCAAATCTTAAATAGTTGAGTTGGGGAATTTCTTTCCCTATTTCCAGAATATTTCCCCAGAGATTGCGGTAGAAGGACCAAGATCAACTCCCCCACCCCCACTGGACAGCAAAGGAATAGAAAGAGCTCCATAAAGGCAGAGAATGAGAGCCCGGCCGGTGCGGCTCCGTGGCTGAGCGTCGACCCGGCACCAAGAGGTCACCGGTTTGATTCTTGGTCAAGGCACATGCCCTGGTGTGGGCCCGATCCCCAGTGGGGGGCATGCAAGAGGCAGTCAGTTGATGTTTTTGTTGTTGTTTTTATCCTCACCCAAGGACTCTTTTGTTTGTTTGTTTTTGCATTTATCTTCAGATAGAGCTGGAGGGAGAGACGGGGAGAGAGAGAGAGACAGAGAGAAACATCAGTGTGAGAGAGACACTTGACTGGTTGCCACCCACATGACCCCAACCAGGGCTGGGGACAAACTACAACTGAGGTACATGCCCTTAGACGGAACTGAACCCAGGACTCTCTGGTCTGCGATCCGACTCTCTGACCGCTGAGCCAAATCGGCCAGGGCAGTCGATATTCTTTCTCATCGATGTTTCTATCTCTCTCTCCCACTCCCTTCCCCTCTCTCTAAAATCAATAAAGAAAAAGAAAAAAACAACAACAAAAAAAAACGACCAAGAATGAGAGCCAGCATAGGAAGGAGCACGCACTGGGAACAGAAACAGGAGCAGCAGGAGCATGGCT